GTGTGCTGCCTGTAGATTTTACGATTTCCTCCAGATTTTGCAAAGAGCTTGACACTCTTATTCTCAGTTTTCTAAGATTGGTTAATCTACCAACATCTTTCAAATCACAATACTCACTTGAAGGTTATATAAGGTCTGTAGATGGCCAAGAGTAGACAGCTTCAGCTTACCCCTTGCTATGTAGTTCCAGGGTAAATATAAATGTCTTAATTGTTTCATCTTCATTATCACATTTTGAAACATTTTGATGGGGGATGGGGGAAACATACTAAATTACCTAGGGATGAGGGAAACATTTTGATACGGCTATCATTCACACTTAGAAACCTTAAGTGTACCATATTTCCAATTTCACTTGGCAAATCTACTTCTACATTATAAAGACATTCAACCTTCAAAACCCTAAGCACTTTGAAATCCTTCAACGGAGATAGTAATCCTTTTTCACCTTTTGGAATCCGTTCTCTTGGGCCAAAGAATAATAGAGACCTTACGTGACCATTTGTTTCATCTCTTGATGAAACCAACTTATCTGCGTTCTCATCCAAGTAAATTGCAGGTCTTCGAATTTTCCCCAATTGTGCTACCTCGGCTACCATAGAAGAAGTATTTTCTTGCAAAGAATAGTTCATCTGGAGAAAGCTTTCCTCTTTTGCCTTTAACAAACACATGTGTTGTACAAGATCATAGATTCGACAACCTTTAATTGTCCTAGTTGAACCACTTTTTTCCATTTGAACCAAACACCTTTCCACTAACTCACTTAAGCAATCACGTGCTATATCCTCCATTGTTTCCCTCGAACCATGTCCTTGTTGTCTCAAGGAGACAAGACCTTCTGCCACCCATAACTTAGTCAATTCGCTCACTACAAACTCAGAGTCTTCAGCATAATGACCTAAATGTAAAAAACATGGTTTTAAGTAATACGGTAGGTCTTTATAACTCAATACCAAAACCCATGATGCACCTTCATATTCTTCTTCATGACCTATCCCTCTCCTTATGTATTCATGAACATTCTCATGCAATCTCTCCCACTCTCTAATGGTGTTTTTTCTTGCTAGAACTCCAGTAAGCAGAATAATGGCTAATGGCAAACCTGCACAGTGTCGAAGCATTTTCATTCCTAATTCTCTCTTCTTTGTGAAAATTCCCAAATCTGAAAAGTAAGAAAGAAATAAAAATCAAATACATTCTTGTAGTATGAGTAATTGCCGTGCATATCCTTACTCGAATGATTAAAAATTAAAATTGTGAAATTCCAAAATTTACTAATATCCTTTGTCTTATTATAAGTTTGGATTTTATAACACATGCCGAATGGAAAACATTCAAAATTAAATCTAGACCAGCACAAAAAAGTTTGGGATATGTTTGGATTGAAGAGAAGGGTTGGGATAAATCATCTGCTAGCTAACAAATGTGTGACCAAGTAAGGCAGTTTATAAAATTGCAACTGCCACATGTATTTTTTCCCCAAAAATTGGTACATGAGTGACAATATGAAAAAATTGTAAAGGGTTATCCCAACAATGAATGAAAAAAGAAAAAACACGAGGTCTGTTAGAATGCGCTGCACAAGCTTGGGGTTTTCTAGGGATTTCACAATTTTCTTACTCTTCGTTGTGCTATTGCTGTCCCACCGTCCGTGGTGGCGGATGGGATATTTGAGTTTGTGTTCGAGGCTGGTGGAGGCTCATAGGAGGGCTTGGTTGCTGGAGAGAAGCGTGCTCGTACCTGGGAGATGTTGGATGTTGGTGGAATAGAGTCTGTTGTGCTTCCTCCTAATTTGTATATATGCCGACAGCTTGATACTATTTGAATAGCTTGCTCTCCACAGCTATTGTTGTCCACCAACACCAATAAAGA